CCTTAGCTGCTTGAGCCACAGGCGCCAAGCCAATAAACACATTTAACATGTGCTCACATAAGAGAAAAACACAAATCAATTCAAGGTGGGGGGATGGGGAACAGGGTAGGGGAAGGGGCAGCGGGAGAGGGATGGGAATTACCCCACTTAATGGGCATAATATTACACAATGGCACACTTTTTCAGGGCAGGACATAAGTTTAAGAGGGACTCTGCCTAAAAAATGCAAACATTGTAACCAATTTCTTTGTGCCTTCAAATTAACCTAAAATTTAAAAAAATGAACACATTTAAATACCAAAGAATAGGCTCAGTACCTGTAGCTCAAACGGCTAAGGTGCCAGCCACATACACCTGAGCTGGCAGGTTCGAATCCAGCCTGGGCCGGCCAAACAACAATGACAGCTGCAACCAAAAAATAGTCAGGCATTGTGGTGGGCACCTGTAATCCCAGCTACTACTCCTCGCTTGAGCCCAGGAGTTGGAGGTTGCTGTGAGCTGTGACGCCACAGTACTCTACCCAGGGCAACAGCTTGAAGCTCTGTCTCTAAATAAATAAATACGAAAGAATAAAATAAGCACTGAAATAATCCTCTGAGATTGATCAGCATAGTTAGAACATCAGTAAGCCATAAGGGCTAAATTGATGGCTTCTACACTCATGATTTAGTTCTAACTTCCCCCACCTGACTGGCACCACAAACACATGAGGCTGGTTAGTGAGAACTTGTGGGGTCAAACACAACATTCTGTTATCAGCTTTTGACAACAAGTGTGTTGTGTTTCTGTTTGAAGTGGAATTTCTGAATGATTGCACAGATACACAGTATTTTTTAATCCTGTCTGTTTAACAGTCCATCACGTTAAGGAAGACCAAAAGAAAGCTGAAGGAAGAAAACAGATTTTTAAATGAGGACTGGGAATTGCAATATCATCTTGTGTCTACTAAGGATAAGATGATTTGCTTGTTTTCTGAGACTCCACTATTAACATTAAAAAAATTCAATGCTCATCAGCATTGTAACGCTCATAAGAACCATGAATATTTTAAATTAGACAGAAATGAAAACCTGTATGAAAAACTATATTGCAGCAATTAAAAGATGAAAAGCAAAAGCAATTATCTCGTGCAGCAAAACCTGGAAATAAGGCCATTGAACCAGCTTATTAAGTAGCTCAGGGAAAAAAGGGAAGCCATCAGTCATGTTCAAATTGTGAAAGAATGCATTGTCAAAGTTGTGAGCTCAGGCAATGTACCTGTCTCCGCCGCCCAGAGTGCTATGATTATAGGCCTGAGACACTGCCCCGCCAGTAGATAAGATTTTAAAGTCACTGCTGGATGCTAAGAAAGATCCAACTATAATATGGAAAAATGCAGTAGAATAGCCACACCCTCAGCAATAAGTCCCCAAAATATTTTCTTGCTTTTCAACCACTATGAATTCATTCATTGCTATGAATCTATATTCTCCTAGCTAATCCAAATCAAGATGCCCTTAAGGTCACAAATGACTGATACCCATTTAGAAGATCAGCTGAAACTGTGAAGGCTGGTACTGGAACTAAACATTCAAATGCTTTCCAACAAAAAGAAGGTACAGGGCGGTGCCTGTGGCTCAAAGGCATAGGGCGCTAGCCCTATATGCTGAAGGTGGTGGGTTCAAACCCAGCCCCAGCCAAAAACTGCAAAAAAAAAAAAGGTACAATAAAGTCATTAAAAGGATACTTATTTTAAAATTAACAAATAGTTGTCATTTTTTTGAAATTATTAAGTACATAGTAGATTTTTTACAAAATAATGTACATTCTTAAGTGTATCTATTTAAAGTTTCTTGAATGCAGTTTTATTTGATTATAGCTAGAATAATACAACCCTCCAACATGAACTCTTTGTTCCCAAGGTCTGAAACGCTCAGAGTAAGGGAGTGTTTGTAGACCAGATAAGATATAAAAGCAAAAGGGATCCATCACTTAATCCAGTAGTTTTCAAATGTAAAAATAACCCTCTTTCAAATAATATGTATATATATATATATATATATATATGTTTTAAGGTGTTTCTATACATTGTTCAGCCTGGCCTTGAACTCTTAGCTTCAAAAGATCTTCCAGCCTCAGTTCCCAAATAGCTAGGACTACAGGTTTGTGCCACTGCATCCCAAATAAATCTTAAAATAAATAAAAGCAGAGTGAAAAATAAATAAATAAAAGCAGAGCCATTTCTCACATGGGTGGAGATGTCACCATGACATCCAAGTGTGGAAGGCGGCGCACTGGAGAACTGCAGCTCCAGGAAACACCTGGAGTGAGCCTGCACTCAGGAAAGGTCTCACATCCCAGACAGTGGCAGTTGTTTTAGAATACAGGCCTCTCAACCATTGGGAAAAGGCAGACCAAATTTTCAACATCATCCTACCAATCTTTTTCTTTCTTTTTTGAGACAGTCTCACTTTGTCATCCTGGGTAGAGTTCTGTGGCATCACAGCTCACAGCAACCTCAAACTCTTGGGCTTAAGTGATTCTCTTGCCTCAGTCTTCCAAGTAGTTGGGACTACAGGTATCCACCACAACACTGAGCTATTTTTTGGCTGCAGTTGTCATTGTTTAGCAGGTCTGGGTCAAGCTTGAACCCGCCAGCCTTGGTGCATGTGGCCAGCACCCTACTTACTAAGCTACAGGCGCCAAGCCATCATCCTACCCATCTTGAAGTCAAAACGGATAGGGAAAGTTCTGCTCTGCTACCTGCTCCTGTGAGACCCTGGGAAAACCACTTCTCACTGAGGAATTCACTTTTTATCTCTCTTTTCTCTTTGAGACAGAGTCTTACTTGGTTGCCCAGGCTACAGTGCTGAGGCATCACAGCTCACAGTAACCTCAAACTCCTGGGTTCAAGCCATCCTCCTGCTTCAGCCTCCTAAGTAGTTGGGACTATAGGCACGTGCCATGACACCCACCTAATTTTTCCTTTTTTTTTTTGAGATAGAGTCCTACTTTATTGCCCTTGGTAGAATGCCATGGCATCATAGCTCACAACAACCTCAAACTCTTGGGTTCAAGTGATTCTCTTGCCTTAGCCTTCCAAGTAGCTGGGACTA